GGGTGGGTGGGGGGAAGGGGCCACAGCAGACGATGTGCTGTGCATCAGAGGCGTCGGACGCAGTGATTACGAGGGACCAGGCATGTTGCAGATGCCCGGGCGCGTCGCGAGCCCCTGGCGCCTGGGGCGGCCAGCAGCGGCAGATGTGCATGCGTGGCTGCACCCAAAGCTGGCGCCTCCCTTTGGCGCACCAGGCGCGCGGCGCAGCATGAGGACACCCTGTCCCAGCCCCGCGTTACCCACCAGAAGACGTCTCCCTCCCTGACGTCAAACATGTACTTGTTGGCCGCGCCCACGTGCACCATGTAGCCGCCCATCTGGGCGGTTGAAAGTCGGAGTCGCCAAGGGGACGTGCAAGACAAGTGGCGAAAGTCTGGGGCTGGGATTAACAGGTGCAATCATGAAGACTTCGCCTTTACATGCAGTCCAGACTGGACTTCAAAGCTCGGCAGTGGCTGGGCCACGTCTGCATCCCAAGCTCTGGCACCCCGTGTGTTGTCTCTCTCAGATGGGCGGTTCAGACACAGCGCTTGGGGCGGGGCCTGCGAGCGGCTGCGCCACGGGCTGGGGAGGGGGGCGCAAGCGGCTCACTGTGTGCAGGACGCCCTTGGGCTTGCCGGTGGAGCCGGAAGTGTAGAGCATAAACAGAGGGTCCTCTGGGGCGTTGAAAGGGGATGGAAGGGCCACAAGACGTGACAACCACGCTCCAAGGTACGGCGGACAGCCGCAACCTGCAGCATCCGCTGCCCACCGTGGTGCGCACGCCGTAACCATCTTTTTCCCGGCCCGTCGCTCCAACCCGCCCGCAGGCGCCGCACGCGGACGTGCGGCCGCTCAGGCGCCCCGCCTCGCGCCGCGGCGACCCACCGGCGTCCAGCCACACCGGGGGGCAGTACTCGGGGCGGGAGGCGACCTCGTGGTGCCACCAAGCATCGCGGTGCGGCTTCCAAGGGGTCTCCTCCCTGGCCAGAGGTGCATGAGATGCCGTGACAGGCGAGCGATCAGAAAGGACTCACGTGTTCGACGTGCACAGAGCGCCAAGGCCGCTAGCAGGGCGAACAGCGAGTGCATGCACCACGCAGGGGGCGCCGTCGGGCGCAAGCTTGCGCTGCGCTCGGCCGACGGTCGCGTGCAAAGAGCTGCCCGGGGTGTAGCCAGACTTTTGGGGCCGCGAGGTGAAGTTGTGTGGCGGCGCTCGGTCCCCACCTGGGCAGGGCGCTCTTCTCAAAGACCAGCACGCGGGTGACCCCTCTGTAGCCAGCCTGCAGAGGCCGGGATTTTGTTTTCTGAGTGTAACACACGCCCCGTGATGGCGCTCTGAGGGCATGCAAGAGTTGCAGCCCGGGCAACGAGCCCCGCAGCGTCCGCTCTGCCATCTTGCATCAGAACGGCAGCACGCCAAAGTCGGAAACGCTGCCGGCCTGCAGCGTAGCGCTGAGTTGAGGCGGCCTCGCAGGCCATCCCTTGGGGTTCTGGGATGTGGTCTCAGGGCATTTCTGGGCCCCGTCCCTGGCCAGGGGGCCCCGCAGCACACCTTTTGCGCCAGGCTGAGTGACTCGTCCACGAGTGCCTTGAGGTCCACCCTCTTGGTGCCGCGCATGACGCCGCTGGCGGTGATCACCACGCGCGCACTGGTGCGTCGATGTGGGTGACGGTGGGGGCAGTGGTTGTGTGTGCGTGTGTGTGCGCGTGCGTGTCTGTGTGTGTGTGTGTGTGTGTGTGTGTGTGTGTGTGCACATGTCCCACTTGCAATTCCAGAGCTGATCGTGCCGTAGCCCCCTTTTGGTCGCCTTGGCGCTGCTCAAGAGCCCTCCGCGGTGCCTGCCCCCTGCCTGTAACGGCTTCCCGCCGCATAACCCATCCCTGACACACGGCAAAGCGAGAGGCCGTTCGGCCTCGTCAGACAACCCGCGCGCACCGGCAGTCCTGGATGCGCTGCGCCATGCTCTCCGGGCTGAACCCGGCAAACACAACATTGTGCACGGCTCCGATGCGCGCGCACGCCAGCATGGCGATGGGCAGCTCGCTGACCTGAAGGTTGGGAGTGTGCAACATGTGAAGATGTGTGCGGAGCGATTCATTGGGGGGGGGGAGGTGACAATTGTGTGATGCAAGCAAGGATGCTGGCGGTGTGGGAATGGCCTTGTCGGGCCGGGCTTCTCTTGACAGCAATTGACAGTTGAGCAGTGGCGCGAAGGCGCTTGCGGGGGAGGACGGGTGCGTGTGTGTGTGTGTGTGTGTGCCGCACATGCTAGGAGCAGCCGCACATGCTAGGAGCGGGGGACCCGACCATTCGCACGTCATGGCCAAAGCGCGGCAGTACGCCCTCGAAATCGGCCTGTAGCAAGGCCCCCAGGCGCTGCACCCCACCATCGGCATGTAGATGAGGACGGCGTCGCCCTTGGCCACGCCCTGGCCCCGCAGCCAGTTGGCCTGTCAACGGACAGCACAAGGAGCAATGAGGGCAGGAGAACACGACATCATGTGCCGTCAGAAACCTCCTGCAGCGTGATTGGCGCACGCCTTCCGTGTCTGTTTGCCGCAGCTGTGCTGACAGACAGCAGTGGAATGCTGGAAATCACCGGACTTCGAAGGTCGAGATGTAAAACCCATCTTCCCAGCGCCCATCTCCCCTGCTGCTGCCCTCCTGCATGCCCCACCCCACCCCGCGCCGCCCGCCCCCCTGCCCATCATGCCTCGCGTGCTGGCCCTACCCGGTGCAATGGCTAGTCAGACGCTCACCACTCTGCAGACCTCTGACAGCACCTGGTGGTACGTCATGCTGCGCTCGTGGCCCAGGTCGTTGCCCTCCGATATGAAGCACACGCGGTCGCCCTTGCCGGCGATTACCCACCTGGGGGCATGGCAGGGACGGGGGCGGGGCGGCACGGGTGGGCAGTGTGCATGCAGGCATGGACGCTGGGGCGCGCGCGTTCCCGGGCTCACGGCCTCGCTGAGCTGCGGGAAGGCCGCCGGCTCGCGCAAAACTTCAAAGTTCACCAGCCCCGTGCCCTACCCGGCCCTGCGCCGCCCACCCTGCCCCCCACCGTGATACTATGCGCACACAAACACAAAAGAGCGTGTGCACGAGGACACACAAATACACACACGCACGGATCCAAAAACACACAAGCTCACACACTTTCAAACATTTGCCCTGCATACACACGCTCCAGCGCCCCCACATCTTAACCACGCCCACCTGTCGAGGCAGTTGAAGGTGATGTTGGTCTGCGCCCCCTTGAACCATGTCGACCCGATGCGGCCGCGCGACAGGTCAAAATTGAACGTCGTGTGGTCGCGGTCCCACTGTCGCGTCCATACACGGTTTGGCGGCCAAGAGGAGTAGGACGGCATTTGCTATACATGCAGCGGTGGCCCAGAAGTGAGGACTTCAGGGTAGCCAGAAGGCATGCATGACAGGGAACTGCGGCCGGTGCTCGACCGGCAGCCACATTGTTGAGGGACCAGGCTTCACTGCTGCCAATCACTGGCCTGCACACCACACCCCCTGCGGCTTCTCTGCCCTGAAACAACATCGCACACGGCTGGACCTGCCTCCCGTGTCACGCTTGTGCATTGCCCTTCTGCCGTCGCCCCTATGGCTCAAATATGGCGCACCCAAGTGCGGGCCGCAGTCAATTTTGATCTCATGATGCAACACCACCACGTTCAGACCCCAAAATAACCAGCACGTGCAGACGAACACACACAATGCACATCAAACATGCAGGCATTCTCACACAACGCTGATACGCGTGCACACACACACACACACACACACACACACACACATGCACACACAAGCAGTCACATCCACGCAAATAGACACACGTGCGCACCTTTTTGTGCCAGTAGTACTCCTCAGCCTCCTGCGCCCAAAACCCAGCTGGGTCCTGCGGTATGGGAGCCAAGCGGTTCGCTGGGGGCATTGCAGCAGTGGCGCCGGGCCCCACCTGTGCCATTGGCCACGGTGGCTGGCGCGCTGCTGGTAAACGCTGCTTTAGCACGAATCCATATAGACAGCCAATTCCATGCGGCGGCAATGGGCATCACAGCCGGCAGTGCACGGCGTGCGCAACCCGTCGCTTGTGCTTAGAGAGGTGTGGGCAAAGCACTGGGATGGTCTACTGCAAGGGGTGGCGCTGCATACTTGGATCGAGCGGCGGTGCATCTCCTCATACTGCTGCCGATTGCGGACCAGCGGCGGCCTGTCGGGGATGGCCTGCCAGGACAGCACGGGGGTGGCCAGTGCTCAGATCAGCTGACTGTCCACGTCGCGAGAAGCACCACGGCGGCGTGCCGACCACTCCATGGCAGATACAGCCCTCCGCAAAGGACCCAGTTGTCTGGCAGCCTTGCTGGCTGCATCGCAGGGGTCCGTACATTCGATTGCTGATGCTGCGCACCTGCTGTGCTGTGTCGTTTGAGGGGCGAGCCGCTGCATCAGCACGGGCGAGCACATCGAGTGTGGAGTCTGAGGTCGGAGCGAGCTGCTTGCTCAGAACCTGGATACGATTCAGAGGGGCCATCTTGACGTTCGAGGGCACAGGCCCGCCTTGCACAACGAGCCTGGCCAAGGCGGAACGAGCTACAGTATCAGTCGGGTGCGAACGCTTCCCCCTGCTGCGATCGGGGTGGTGTGATGCAGTCAAGCAGGTGCGTATTGGCTACACAGGTAGAGTTGCGTGACTACCTGAGTGCCGGGCGGCGTCACCTGACCCCGATGCGTCACGCTTTCGGCACCCGCGTTGCTGCGTGCCCCGGACGTCAAAATCAAACACCGTGACGCTTCGGTTGTTGCGTTATCATACACCCAAATGGATGATGTGATGCGTCATCTTTACAGCTGTCTCCAATCAGCTAGAGGGGGGCAGCACAGGCCAGCTGCACAATGGCAACACACTCGGTCAACCCGGGTCGAAGCTGCCAAACATTCTAGTTTGTATCCAAGCAGCAAGAAGTCGCAGACAACCCCCGCCCCTCCCCCCCCACACACACACACACTCACACTCTTTGCACTGGTGGAACCTCCAATCACCTGTTCCACATCTTGATTCTGAACGGCCCGCCTTGTCGAAAGCTACTGATTGTTGGCGTTCTGAGTGGTGTGAGTGGCCGACTACGCGCCCGGCCACGGCACAAGATTTGAGAGCCTCTCAACACATGTTGAAGCCAGGACATCAGAACGCAAACGCCCCTGAAATCAAGCGCGTGTAAATGAATCTGTGCAGCGCGGCAACGTTGGATACAAGTGCAGCAACAAAATCTTGCCCTGCACCCTCGCATCATCAACACAAGCAAATGCCACTGCCCCTCCTCCACATTTTTATTCCAACACAAACACCCACATCTGGTGCCTGCAATGCTGACTTGATTTTTGTCATTCCATGGCAGAAACGTGACTTGCAGCGGGTCGCGTATCCGTGGGCGGGCGACCCTGCTCTGGGACACTCACACCACGCGTGCGCGAAGTCGTATCATATGACCTCGCAACGTGATTGAGAGTTGCACAGGTTTGAACAGATACGTACTGAATACTGCAGAGCACGCTGGATGCGGCGCGCCCTGCAGCAGCGTTCAAAACTGCAGTCAAGGCGGGCCCTGCAAGTGCTGTTCATTGTGGTTGAGGCAACCAGCGTGGTTACCCTGCCGTGCATGCTCATGTTATGTGTGCTGGCATCACAACAGAGAGCTAGCTCCCCAGATGTCTCAGTGCTATAGGAAGGTGCCGTCGAGGGGACGAGGAAGCAAGCAGACAGCATCCGACGACACTCTGCTGCGATTGAGTCGACTTCAACGCACCCCCAGGGGATAGTCCTGCTCACACACCCTTGAGCACTACCAATGGTCACAGAGCGGTAGATCAAATTTACGATGGGTTTCTTCTTGTATGGGGAGTGCGGCTTGTCAGGGAGGCAGGTACCCAAGGGTTCGCTGCCGCCACCGGTCAAGTGCCGTCAGCAGTGACGAGCGTGGCGGAGGCTTGTTCTCGGATCGGTTTCCCAGGCGTGTCTGCAACACATTCGCACTTTCTTCAGCATTCCAATAACACTGTCATACACTTGCACCTAAGCGACGCTGCACTCGATCACTTACTGTACACGCTCATCTTGCAGCTTGGGCGAGTCGCATGCACTCCTTGAATTTAATGCGAGCCATTGGCGCTCAGCGCCGGCTCGTCAGCACATGCCGCATAGTGGGCGAAACGCAGCGGCGCGGCCCTGTTGCGACGGCACGTGCTGCGGTCACCACAGAGCGCCACAGCGGTGACAGTGCTGGTGCGAGTGGCAATGGTGGCGGCCCGCAGCATCTGCCTGACTACGAGCATGTCGTGGACGCGGAGGAGGTGGGCCAAGCAGTGCCTTGGTTGCGGCGCGAGACGGCGAGTTGTTTACCAGGACTGTCCTTACAGGGCGGCTCGGGGCTAGCAGCATTCATGCAGTTTCGCAGCGAGCACGCGCCGTGGCTCATCCACGCCATGCCAGCAACCACGTTGTCGCCCGCTCCGCACCCCAGCCGAAAACTGCATGCTGTGCGTGTCTCTCCATTTTGACCGCTTCGGGCGGCTGCCATTCCCGCCCCTGCCTCCCGCCCGCGCGCCCCGGCAGTTCCGCAGCATGGGGTACAGGGTGGTAGACTGGATAGCAGACTACTACAAGAACCGCCTGGAGTCGCTGCCGGTCAAGCCGGACGTGCAGGTGCGCGGCAGCTGCCTGACGGCTTTGTTCCAGGCCACCCCTCCTCCCGAGACACACCCAGCACCCAACAGCAGGCGGAGCTGGGGTTATGGGCCGACCCGGCCCCGTGTCGGACAGGCAAGTGGTCAATATAAGCCCTCACATGCGGTCCATCGGCCACTGCAGCGGGAGTCTCAGAGTAGGAAGATGTGATGACTCGCCACGTCCAGCTGCAGATGCCGCCGACGCCCGGCCACCCACCCGCGCCGCGCAGCCCGGGTACCTGCGTCCGCTGCTGCCCGAGCACGCCCCCGAGGAGCCAGAGTCATTCGATGATGTCATGGCGGATATCGAGGCCAAGGTCATGCCGGGGGTTGTGCACTGGCAGAGCCCGAGGTGGGGCCATTTTTGAGTCCGAGGATGGGGGGCTCTTGTCGTGAGGCTCGGCGGCACGGATGTGGGTGGATGGATGATGGGATTGGGCATCGCATCCTTGACGCAGCCGGCGCCAGCGCCGCTCATGGGTCTGCCATCGCAGCCTTCCACTCGCATGCAAAGGCACGTCCTGCTGATTTGCGAGCTGCTCTGCACCACCTACCCTTGTTCAATTGGTCCCCCTGTTGGCAGCTTCTTCGCATGGTACCCTTCGGCCACCTCGTTCCCTGCCATCCTCGGGGAGATGCTCATAGGTGAGATTCTGCGGGGCTTTTCAGGCCGTGCTGGTGTCTGACGAAGAGGCGATAGGGTTGAGAGGCAGGGTAGCCAGAGTGGCAACAGGGGTGCTGGTGCAGTGGTAGCTTCGACCCAACCCTAACGTCAGGGCGTTCAGGCCAGGCAGCCATGCATGCGTGGGGTGTGTGTGCGGTCGTGTGTGTGTGTGTGTGTGTGTGTGTGTGTGTGTGAGAGGGTGTGCTTGCGTGCGCGCTTGCGTGCATGCATGTGCGTGTGCATGTGCATGTCGATGTGCACCTGCGTGTGCGTGTGTCTGTATGTGCGTGTGCGTATGTGTCTGTTTGCATGCAAGCGCGATCATCAAGTTAACATCTGCTCTCATCTTGTCCCCTCCCACCCCCACCTGCCTGTCCCTGCCCCAGGAGCCATCAACGGCATCGGCTTCAGCTGGCAGAGCTCACCCGTCGCAACAGAGCTCGAGATGGTGCGCGCACACGTGATATCCACATTTGCTGGGGTTTGACTCCAAAATTCTCAAAAACCAACAGCTGTGTACACAGGGGAGCCTTACATCCTCGGAAAAGCATCCCGTCCACATGCAGTGGCCCATGTTGCACGACGCCGCAGCCCTTTGCATTAAAGGTTTTCAAACATCCGGCTTCCAACTGACGCCAGGTCACCATGGACTGGCTGGCCCAGCTCTGCGGACTGCCCCAGAAGTTCCTTTTCTCTCGAGCCGCCTCGGGCCCCGAAGGCGTAGCCGCCGCGGCAGGCGCCGCGCCCCGCTCAGACATGGCCGGCGCGACCGCGGACGCGTGCGCGGCGGCGACGGGGTCTGGGGGCGGCGTTATCCAGGGGACGAGCAGCGAGGGCGTGTTGGTCGCGATGCTGGCGGCGCGGGCGCGCGCGATGAGGGGGCGGCCGCCGGAGGACGCCGTCCGGCTGGTGGCGTACGGCTCGGACCAGGTGAGGCAGAATGTGTCACGGATCGTGCGTTGAGAGGGGCAAACGGGGAGAGGCGAGGCCAGCGCGGCGGGGGCCATTTTGACGGGCGTGCTGCTGGGTGGTTTTTCGTGTGTTGAGGACGCTTGAGCGACGATGAGGCTGGGTGCAGCGGCGCAATCGCGCGCAGCTGGGGCTTCGGCCGCCTGCCTTGGCGCTCGAGCTCACCCAAGGCCCTGGTAATCAGCAGCGCCACCCAGTGTAACGCGCGCTGGTGCGTGGTCACAACGCATGACCTGGAAATTCATGATGGCCACCACTGAGGTCACCATTACGCTGACACCATCAATACCCTCTCCGCTGTGCGTGCCTTGCAGACACACTCCTGTTACAAGAAAGCAGGCATGGTCCTCGGCCTGGCCCACATCCGCGCGCTGCCAACCTCGGCCGCCTCGGACTGGGCGCTCCGGCACGAAGATCTGGAGGCCGCGATCTCCGAGGACAAGGCGAAGGGGCTTATCCCATTCTTTGCGTGCGCGAGCGTCGGGACGACGTCGTCCTGTGCGGTGGACCCGGTGCCAGAAATTGCAAAGGTTTGCGCCAGGTATGTCGTGGGGGCGCTGATCCACAGTTGGAAGCGCGGGCGCGGGCCAGCGGTCGCGCTGCGGGCTGGCAGCCGTAGCAGGGTAATTGACTGTGGAGGTTGGAGGCGTTTGAAGTATTGCAGGCAGCGATCCCTGGCTGTGTTCATTCTTGTGATTTCTCAAAGCAGACATTCAAGCCTCCGCACACCCCAGCTCCTCTCATCTCACCTGCATGCACGCGCGCGCACACACCCACATATACTACACACACACACACACACACACACACACACACACACACACACACACAAACGCATGCAAAAAAACATACACCCATGTGATGTGCACCCTGCTGCCTGCCTACCCCCTTCATACCCGTGCTCAGGCACGGCTTGTGGACCCACGTGGACGCCGCGTACGCGGGCTGCGCGGCCATCTGCCCAGAGCACAGGAGCCTCTTTGCTGGCCTGGAGGCTGTCGACTCATTCCAGTTCAACCCCCACGTGAGGCTCAGGGGCCGCAGGGCACGCAGCTAGAGCACTGGAGACAGGGGTCATGGTAGCGTATGCATCCTCAATCACCAGCGTTCCGTATTTGTTGCGAGCGCAACATGCCAGTTTGCACAATGCAATGCACAGCGGTCCAGCCCTGTTCCCCTGATTGTGACCAACAATTAGTGTGGGCATCAGAGGCACTGTCACATGCAGTCCACACACCTGAGCTTTGGACACCTCGCACTCCTGGGTTCATCCTCGACCCTTGACCACAGAAATGGCTCGTGACTACGTTTGACTGTTGCGCCATGTGGGTGGCCGACGCGGGCGCTCTCAAGGAGGCGCTGTCGCTTACGCCCATCTACCTGCGGACCCCGGCCAACGGTGCGCAGCAGGGGGCACGGGCGCGGCCCCAGTGGGATTTGCACGCTGTAACCTGCACCAGGCACGATTCTGCTGCCTGCTGTGTCTCAACTCCAGTCTGCCCGTCCCCACATCGTCACACCTGACATCTCATCTAGACTTGTGCGTGGCTGCTCCAATGTGACAAGCCTAGACTTTTGACAACTTCAGAGCTGCACACAGCATCCTCAACGTGAACAAGCATCGGCCCCTTGTTTGCCGTGCTACTGAACGACCCTCCACCCATTCCCCGCAACAGCCAGCCCCGACCATCACCCCCTGGCTGCCAGTCAGTGCCTCCCTCCACTTCACCCTGAGATCATGAAAGCGGCTGCACCGACGACGACGCCACTCCTGACGCCTCGACAGTCTTCGAATATTGCCCACCTCTCGCCCCACTCCTCCCCTAAACCTGCGCCCCCCAAACCCTGCCAGGCCTGGACTATAAGGATTGGCAGGTCCCACTTGGCCGCAGGTTCAGGTGCGGGGGCCACAGGCCACGCCCGGGCCCATCCGGCGCCCAGGCCCTGCACCCCTCTCAGGTCGCACCGTCCCGCCCTCCCCGTTTTAGAAGGGGCAGCAGTTTGGCCGCCGCTTTGTTTGACTTGCAGCTGACGTGTCTCACATCTTGAACCACAAAGTTGCGGCCTTATGCGGGTGCCCTGCTGCCATGCATCCCACCAGGGCGCTGAAGCTGTGGATGGTCCTGCGCATGTATGGCGCCGAGAAGCTGCGCGCCCTCATCCGCCATCACTGCGCCATGGCGGCCTGGCTAGCAGACCAGGTGGGCGGCGGGGCGCGTCACATGAGGGGCTGCGGTGGTCTGTGGTCGGTTCTGGTGGTCGCAATTGATATCACCTGTGGGTTTACGGCCAGCCGCCTCCCATGTGTTTCTGTGGGGTCGCTTGCATGAGGTTGGGAGCCCCGGAATTCAGATTGCAACATCCACACAGCTACAGAATATACTGCCCAATCCCACCCTGTGTCTCGGGACCGCCTGATTCAATTCCTGCGCGCTGCGGCCGTCGCGCCCGCCGGTGCCCCCAGGTGCGCGCTGACCCGCGGTTTGAGGTCGTCGCGCCGCCGCGGCTGGGCCTGGTGTGCTTCAGGCTGAGGGATGCCACCAACGCCACCAACGCACAGCTGGCAGCGGCAGTCAATGCCACAGGTGGGTGTTGCACGGCGGCTGGATGTGGTTGCTGTGCTCGTGGGATGCTGCATTTTGGTACTTGGCCTAGGGGAACATCATGGGCGGGCGGCCACAGCAACACGCAGCACAGACACTCACACACAGCCACAGCCACAGCCACACACACACACACACACACATGTGGATGCGTCCACGGGCACACGCGCACGCACACAAACACGCGCAACCACACACACACACATACACACACGCACGCACGCACGCATGTATGCACGCACGCAAGCACACAACCACACACACGCACGCACGCACACAAACACACTCAACCACAAACATGCACACAAACACGCGCAACCATGCACACGCACACAAACACGCGCAACCACACAAAGCACACAAACGCACACACACACACACACACACACACACACACACACACACACACACACACACACTCACACACACTCGCGCGCACGCACGAACGCACACGCAACCACACACACACACACACACGTGTATGCACACATAACCACCCCACACGTTCACCCTCGTCCCACCTACCACAAATTGCACCCCTTCCTCTTCAACCCCACCCCCAGGCAAGATGTTCCTCGTCGCAACAGAGCTCGACGGCCGCACTACCCTGCGCCTCGTCGTCGGCAGCCCCCAGACACAGCCGCGCCACGTGTCCGCGGCCTGGGACCTCATCCGGGAGCAGGCGGCTGCGCTGCTGCAGCAGGAGCTGACTGGCGCGGCGACGGCGGCGACGGTGGCCGCGCGGGCTGGGTGAAACGCAATTGAGGGTTGTAAACGGCTTCATGCGGATAGATCACTGGTGGTGAGACGCAAGCCTGGCAGGTTCACGCGTCTGATGTTGGGCTGTAGTGGCAATCATGATGCGGCGCATTAAGAAGGGTCGCAGCGATTGGGGTGTGAGCAGGCGGCAGCACCAACCAAGTGGGTGGCAGGCTCCAGCAAAGGAATCACCACATTGAGACATGTGCATGTGATTCCGATAGCTAGCATCAGCAGCTTCACTGAGATGATGGACTGGGTGGGATTACACAGTGATATGTAATGCGCCTGCGTGCAGTGAATGCGGTTTTTTGGGCGGCAGACGACATGGCGGCAATCCTAATCCTAATCCATGGCGGTCCTTGCAGCAATGCATCCACCAGCTTGACCTCATTTGACCGACGGCAATCCACAGCCTCAGCCGGCTGACCCCTCAAGAGCAATGGCAGCGCATGTGAGGCTGGTGGGCAGGTGCCCTGTAGGCTGCCGTGTGGCTCCACATTCATGCACGTGCCGTATGATACTTTTCACCACCACTACCGCCCCAGGTGACGGCGACCTTGCACCACTGACAACCACCACCGACAAGGCGCCACAAACAAATGATGTTGTGCGGATACCTGCGCAGCAAACATCAACGTCCTCCCATCTCGCGGTGATTGTCGGGCATTGAGACTGTAGATCGTCTGACGTTGACACACGCATCTCTCGCACCAGCACTACAGCGTGATGCAACATCTATTAAGACGCAGAATGCGGCTGCCAGCCCGCGCAGCTGCAGGTCGACCATCTGCGTGGCAGCTGGTGCAGCACCAACGCCGGGGCGCCTCTGGCGCCTGCCGCGCGGCCGTGCAGGCGGCAGGCACGCTGCAGGGCCTTCTAGATTGGGCAGAGAGCAACAAAACTGCCACCGACAGAGTCACGGTGGCCGCCAGCATCGTAGACGATGCGCCGCTGCTGGTCGCAGCGCGCGATGTCTCCGCCGGCGAGGCGATCCTCACCATCCCCGACGCAAACTGGGTCAACACTGCAGCCGTGGCCAAGTCCCCGATCGGCCCCAAGGTCGCGGGCCTCGAGCCGTGGCTGCAGCTCGCGCTGCTGCTGCTGCACGAGCGCCGCGGCGGCGGTGGCGGCGTAGGCGGCGGCGCCGCGCCGGCCGCGTTTGTCGCGTCGCTGCCGGCGGCGCTCGACACGCCGCTGTTCTGGAGCGACGACGAGGTGGACCTGCTGCAGGGCACGCAGCTGCTGCAGCAGCTGTACGGCTACAGGTGGGCCGCGGCGCGGCGCACAACATCGCACAAGTCCGCCGGTTTGACCGGATTGACCCATGCGCTGCGCCGCCTCGAAAGACCCCTGTGGGGGTTGGCGCGTGTGCAACGTGTTATTCAACGCCTTGTTATACCCCCAAGCCAGTGCGCATCCTCCCGTTCCTCACCATAGGCCCGTCCCCCACCCTGCCGCCAACCCCTGCGATTCCCCTCGTCGCAGGCAGTTTTTCAGGCAGACGTTTGCTGACATGGAGGAGGGGCTGTTTGCCCCCGACCGCGCCCTGTTCCCCGCCGACGCATACACCTACGAGTCCTTCGTCTGGGCGGTGGCGACGGTGCGCAGCCGCACGCACGCGCCTCTGGACGGCGGGGCCATCGCGCTGGTGCCGCTGGCCGACCAGGTGAGTCATGAGGGGTGGGGGAGGGGGCTGATGGCAACACGATTTTGCGGGGCGCTCGGCGTGATGAGGGTGAGCTTGGGGGCACGCCTTTGTGCTGCTCTCCTTGAGACTCGGCTTGCTTCTGCTGTTCTGGGGATGGAGATTTGCAGCATGCATGCATGCTGACCGGCCCGCCCGCGCGCCCCCGCGCGTCCGCAGCTGCCGCACCGCCGCGCCGCCAACTGCGTGTGGCGGGCGAAGCAGCAGGGCCTCTTCGGCCGCGGGCAGTCCCTGGTGGTCGAGGCGACGCGCGCCATCCGCAAGGGCGAGGAGCTGTCGATGGACTACGGTCCGGGCAAGCTGGACTCTGGACTGTTGCTGGACTATGGCGTCCTGGACACCACTTGGCCCCAGGTGCGGCGGGCGGTCCGCCCCCTTGGCCCACTCCAGGAGCTTTCCATCAAACTCTTCATGTGCTCTGGCGCACCACAGGCTTAACTTTATGTGGTTTACACGCAGTGCATGCATGTGAGAATACCAACCGAGGGGACAACCCACAATGTAACCACCTCAGGGCGGTTACAACCTGACCCTGTCGGTCCCGGATTCTGACCGTTGGCGCGACGACAAGCTGGACGTGCTGGAGCGCAACGGGCTGTCCGGCACCACGAACTTCACCGTGAAGAAGGGGGAGGAGCCGTCGCCGGAGATGCAGGGCTTCCTCAGGCTGACGCAGCTGTCGGGTGCGGGGCGGGTGCGGGGGGTGGGCAGTGTTGGGCGGCGCAGCGCAGGGCGCGGCCTTGCGTGCGCGCGGGGGGTGGGGATGTTGCCCGCTGGTAGGGCAAAGCGGGCGGCGGCGGCGGGCAAGGGGCCGCCACACTGCCTCAGAGCGGCGGCCGGGTGGCCACCAGCCTGCCCGTGCCAAACAATCAGTCTCACACAGTTGACCCATGGACTCCCGTCCCAAGAGCGCCTCACAGCCGGGCCCCCTGCTGTGGCCGCCCTCACCCTCGGCTTCCGACCCCCCCCCAAAAAACCAAACCACCAGGCGGCGACTGCTTCCTGCTGGAGGCCATTTTTGAGGCGGAGGTGTGGGCTTTCATGTGCCAGCCTGTCAGCGAGCCGAACGAGGCCGCGGTCTGCACCAGCGTGGCCGAGGGCCTGAGGGCGGCGCTGGCCGCGTACGCGGGGCCCATTGGTGATGACCTGGCGCTGCTGCGCAGCGGGAAGCTGGCGCCGGGCAGCCGCGCGGAGAGGGCCGTGCAGGTGCGGGGGGAGGGGAGGGGAGGGGCGAGGAGAGCGCCGCTCGCGGGCGCGGGAA